TTGTTAATAATAAGAGATAATTTATTCTCTCGGATTAACCATAAAATAAGGTTTAACCGTTTTATTACTGTTATCAGAAAGTCAAAAAATCAAAAACCTGAAAAATCGAAAAATTGAAGAACTGGAGAACAGAAAAATCAAAACTGTCAATTTTACGATATGTTAATTGTCCAATTTTCTAAATGTTCAGATTTTTCGATTACTCGATTTTTTGATTTTTCAGTTCTTCAGTACTTCTGTTTTTCAATTTTTCCCATTACTTAACTTCACAAACTTTCCATTTTTCAGTTCTTCAATTCTTTGATTTTTCGACTTGGCTTTTTTAGTTTTCCGATTTCTCAATTTTCCAAATTTTCAATATTTCGATTTTTCGACTTCTGGATTTTACGATTTTTTATTTGTTGGATTTTCAGTTTTTCGTTTTTTAAACTTCAAATTTTTCAATCTTTCGACTTTTCGATATTTTAACTTTTCAATTTTTAAAATTCTAGTTTTTTCGATTCCTCGAAATTTCAGTTCTTGTATATTTTATTTTTTCAATTTTCTAAATTTTAAATTTTCGATTTTTCAATTTTCTGAGATCTAGATTTATCGAGATTCGGATGGTTCGATGTTTTGATTGTTAAATCTCTCGATTTACCAATTTTTCCATTTTTAACTTGGCGATTTTTCGATTTTGGCTTATTTATATTTCGAAACATCGAAAAATTGGAAAATCGAAAAATTAAAAATTGTGAAAATTAAAAAATTGAAATACAGAAGAACGGAAAACTCAAGAAATCGAAAAACCTAATAAAATATTAAAAATTGAAAAGTTAAAATATCGAAAAGTTGAAAAATTGAAAAATCGATTATTAAAACGACAAATTGAAAATCCAAAAAGTAAAAAATGAAGAAATCGAAAAACCCAAAAAATCGAAAAGTCGAAATACTAAAAACTCCCAAAATTTGAAGAATCGAAAAATTGAAAAATACAAGAAAAAATGAAGAATCGAAAAATTGAAAAATCACAAAATTAAACGATACATATATCCAAAAATTGAAAAATTGAGAAATCGAAAAGTCAAAAAACAAAGTCGAAAAATCGCAAACCTTAAAAAATCGAAAAATTGAAAAATCAAAAACCTAAAAAATTGAAGAACTGGAGCACTGAAAAATCGAAATAGGAAGTCGAGAAATGAGAAAATAAAATAATAGATTAACTGAGAAATCGGGAAACTGAAAATTCAAAAAACGTCAAAATTTGATGAATTAACAAATAGTGAAGAACTGAAAAATCGGAAAATCTAAAATTTAAACATTGAAAAATTAAAATATTGTAAAATTGAAAAATGGAGGTATTCCAAACAAAAAATCAAAAAATTACAATTCGAAAATTGAAAAAAAGTCGAGAAATCGAAACTCGAAAATTTAAAAAAATGGAAAATTGAAAAATCGGATAATTCAAAAATCGTAACACCGAAAATCAAAGAGCCGAAATGTAAAAAATTGAATAATCGAAAAATCGAAAAATTCAAAAACTGAGGCATCGAGAAATCCAAAAATCAAAATATCGAGAAATCGAGAAGTCGAAAAATTAAAAACTGAATTCAGATGTTTCAACATTTTGATTATTCGATTCCTCGATTCATCAATTTTTCAATTTTTAACTTTTCTTTTCCGTTTTCGACTCCTCAATTTCTCAATCCTCTGATTTTTCAATTTCTCGATTTTGTCATTTTCCAGTTCTTCAGTATTTCTATTTTTCAATTTTTGACATCGATGAATTTTCAGTATTCCGATTTCTCAATTATTCTATTTTTGTTTTTCCTATTTCTTGACTTCGTAAAGTTTCGATTTTTCAGGTCCTCCATTCTTTAATTTTTCGATTTTGCAACTTTGCTTTTCTTGGTTTTTCGATTTCTCAATTTTCGATTTTTTTAATTTCTCAGTTTTTTGGATATTTTTCCAGTTTTGGGATTTTTCAATACTTCGATTCTTCGACTTTTCGATTTCTCGACTGCTGGATTTTTCAATTTTTATTTTTTGGATTTTCAACTTTTCGCTTTTTAAACTTCAGATTTTTTAATTTTTCGATTGTTTTATATTTTCAATTCTCAATGTTTCAATTTTTAAAATTCCAGAATTTTCGATTTCTCGAATTTTCAGTTCTTCTATAGTTTAAATTTCCAATTTTCCGAATTTTTAAATTTCGATTTTTCGATTTCTCGATTTTGTCCTATTTATAAGTATTTTGGAACATCGAAAAATTGGGAAATCGAAAAATTGAAAAATAAATCCGAAAATCGAAAATTTAAAAATTCCAAAAATTGAAAACCTAAACAATAGAAGAAGAGAACACTCAAGAAATCAAGAAATCGAAAAATCTAAAATTTTAAAAATTGAAAGGTCAAAATATCGAAAAGTTGAAAAATTGAGAAATCGAAGTATAAAACGTCGAAAAATTGAAAATCCAAACAGTAAAAAGTGAAGAAATCGAAAAACCCAAAAAATCGAAAAGTCGAAAAACTAAAAACTCCCAAAATTGAAGAATCGAAAAATTGAAAAATACAAGAAAAAATGAAGAATCGAAAAATTGAAAAATCACAAAATTAAACGATACATATAACCAAAAATTGAAAAAATGAGAAATCGAAAAGTCAAAAAACAAAGTCGAAAAATCGTAAACCTTAAAAAATCGAAAAATTGCAAAATCAAAAACCCGAAAAATTGAAGAACTGGAGCAATGAAAAATCGAAATGGGAAGTCGATAAATGGAAAAATAAAACAACAGATTAATTGAGAAATCGGAAAACTGAAAATTCCGAACCGCCAAAATTTGACAAATTAAAAAATATTGAAGAACTGAAAAATCTAAAAATCTAAAATTTAAAACACTGAAAAGTAAAAATATCGCAAAATTGGAAAATGGAGAATTCCAAACATCAAAAATTCAAAAAAATAACAAAGTTTCGATTTTTCGGTTTATCAATTCTTTGATTTTTCGATTTTCGACTTTGCTTTTTTCGTTTTTCGATTTCTCAGTTTTCCAATTTTTTATTTTCTCAATTTTACTTCCCGAGCGTAAGCAAAGGAAGTATTGTAATTGAGTCCGTCGGTCGACTCTCTACTTTTACGTTTTCTCGATCTTTCATGACCCCTAGAAGACGAAGAAATAGGTCTTCCATTTCCGTCTGTCTGTCCGTCTGTCCGTCTGTCCGTCTGTCCGTCTGTCCGTCTGTCCGTCCGTCTGTCCGTCTGTCCGTCTGTCCGTCCGTCTGTCCGTCTGTCCGTCTGTTGTCCCGGATTTTTATTAGACAGATAATCTCCGAAAGTACTCGACCGATTGTTGTGAAATTTTGTACTTATATTAAGAATATCATGTAGATGGTAAAACGCTAACCAAAATTTGTCTAATCATCCCCACCACTAATGCGATGACGTCACTTCAAAATTGTACATAGTAAATGGGTTTTCAATTGTATAAAATAACATAGTCCTACACATGTAGTTTACAACTCTGAATCGACTTTTCACCCGAAACGTCCAGATTTTTGGAAAAAAAATCAAAATTATAAAACAATATTTTGAAATTTAATTTTTAATCTGCTAACCAGAATGCTTTGAAATGTTGCAGATGTTTTAAGGCTATAAAGAGCATCATAAATCTTTAGTCAAAAAATATTTACTTATCCCCTCCAAAAACTTGATGACGTCAGCTTAAAAGTTCGTGGAATAAATCATATCTAAAATGTACAAAATATGATGAGTCTGTACTTGTGATCTATCACTCCATTCATATTTTTTGGATTTGCATATACAGGGTGACTCAAAAAAATTAATGAATGCGTAAATATATTTTATTGATTTAATCAGGAACTACAAAACCGAATGCTCTGAAATCTTGCAGATGTTTTAAGGCTATAAAGAGCATCATAAATCTTTACTCAAAAAATATTTGCTTATCCCCTCCAAAAACTTGATGACGTCAGCTCAAAAGTTTGTGGAATAAATCATATCTAAAATGTACAAAATATGATGAGTCCGTACTTGTGATCTATCACTCCATTCATATTTTTTGGATTTCTATATACAGGGTGACTCCAAAAAATTAATGAATGCGTGAATATATTTTATTGAGTTAATCAAGAACTACAAAACCGAATGCTTTGAAATCTTGCAGATATTTTAAGGTTATAAAGAGCATCATAAATCTTTAGTCAGAATATAGTTGGTTATCCCCTCCAAAAACTTGTTGACGTCAGCTCAAAAGTTTGCCGAATAAATCCTATCTAGAATATACAAAATATGATGAGTCTGTACTTGTAATTTATCATTCCATTCATATTTTTTGAATTTGCATATACCGGGTAACTCAAAAAAAAATATATGAAATCTACTGCGAAAAAAAACACAATAGGCATGCAGTCGTCACGTTTCCAACAGCGAGGGAAGTACTGGCTAAACTCTTTAGACCAATTTTTTGATATTTTTTCAGTTTTCGCATTTTTCATTATTTCGATTCTTTGACTTTTCGACTTCCCGATTTTTCAACTTTTCGATATTTTATTTTTTCAATTTTTAAAATTTTTGATTTTTCGATTTCTTGAATATTCAGTTCTTCTATATTATAATTTTCCAATTTCCCGAATTTAAATTTTCGATTTTTCAATTTTTTGAAATCTCAATTTATCGAGATTCAAATGTTTCGATGTTTTGATTGTTCAATCTCTCGATTTATCAATTTTCCCATTTTTACCTTTTCGATTTTTCGATTTTGGACTAGAAGTGCATATTTCGAAACATCGAAAAGTTGGAAAACGAAAAATTAAAAAATAAATTGGAAAATTGAAAATAAAAAAAAAATCCGAAAATTGAAAAATTGAAATATAGAAGAACTGCAAACTCAAAAAATCGAAAAAAATTCAATTTAAAAATTGAAACGTTGAAAAATTGACACATTGAAGTAAAACAGAAGCTTCTACATCTACTGCTTGGCCAAAATCCTGAGGCTCTTCGGAATGTTAAACATCTCCGAAATGATGTTCGAATCGCTACGAGTACAATCCGAAAGCTACATGGTCCACAAGTCCTTTCCCCAACAACTGAAGAAGCGCATCTTCAAGTACTACGACTACAAGTACAACAACAAGTTTTTCTCCGAGCAAGAGGTCCTGGGCACTCTGAGCGAACACCTGAAAATGGAAGTTCTTCTTTATAGCTGCCGGAACCTGATCCAACGAGTGCACGCCTTCAAGGGACTGACTAGGTCCGACGTGGGCTGCATCCTTGCGCAGTTGAAACAAGAGATTTTCGTGCCGGGAGACACGATCCTGAATTCCACCGAGGACACGGGATGCATTTACTTCATTCTTCTTGGGACGTGCGGGATAATAACGCTTAGAGGGAAGGAGGTGATACATATCGAAGACGGCGATTTCTTCGGAAACATCCTCGAACCGAAAGAGTTCGGGGCTGAAAATATTTTGTACTCGGTTCTGGCTCTGGAGATGGTCGAAGTGTACAAGTTGGAACCGGAGGATCTGAATTACTGCGCCAGGACGCATCCCCGGATTAAAGACAAGCTGGAGAGTATAGAAAAAGCGAAATATCGCCGGTACATTAATTTGTTCAGGGCAGAAGATGATGAAGACACGACGGGGGATATTTTGCGCGAACTGAGGAAAAAGAAGATTTTAGAGCAAGGGTTACACAGGAGCTTGTTTGAGTAGTGTTGTTGAACAATTGTGACAATAAAGCTATATTTTTTAAACAAATTCACACATGGCAATTTTGTATTGTTGTTAAGAGTAAGAGATAATTATTCTCTCGGATTAACCGTAAAATATGTTTTAACAGTTTTGTTACTTGTTTGTGACGAATGATTTTTGCAAACAGCATAAATTTTGACTTTTACCAAAGACCTTGGTTTCAATAATATAAATTAGCGCTGTGACACAGTATAGAGATCAGAAAATTAAGAAATCGAAAAACCTAAAATTTTAAGAATTGAAAAGTTAAAATATCGTAGAGTTGAAAAATTGGGAAATCGAAGTATAAAACAGTCGAAAAACTGAAAAATCAAAAACCTGAAAAATCGAAAAATTGAAGAGCCGAAAAAAAGGAAAATCGAAATTGTCAATTCTGCAATATTTTAATTGCGCAATGTTTTAAATTTTACGATTTTTCAACTTCTCGATTTTTTGATTTTTCAGTTCTTCAGTATTTCTCTTTGTTAATTTTTCAATTTTTTAATTTCTCAATTTTTGGATATTTTTCCAATTTTGGAATTTTTCAATATTTCGATTCTTCAACTTTTTGATTTTTCGATTTTTTATTCTTTGGAATTTCAGTTTTTCGTTTTTTAAACTTCAGATTTTTCAATTTTTCGACTGTTTCATATTTCGATTTCTCAAATTTTCAACATTTAGAAATTTTAATTTTTCAATTTTTAAAATCCTAGATTGTTCGATTTGTCCAATTTTCAGTTCTTCTGTATTTTAAATTTCAATTTATCAATTTTTCCATTTTTAACTTTTTGATTTTTCGATTTTGACCTATGTATATTTCGAAAGATCGAAAAAGTGGAAAATCTAAAAATGACAAAATGAATTGGAAAGTTGAAAATTAAAAAAAAATCCGAAAATTGAAAAATTGCAATATAGAAGAACGGAAAACTCAAAAAATCGAAAAAAATTCAACTTTAAAAACTGAAACGTGGAAAAATTGAGAAATTGAAGAAAAACAGGAAAATTTAAAAAATCCAAAGTAATAAAAACGAAAAATTGAAAATTCAAAAAATAAAAAGTCGAGAAATCGAAAAATCGAAAAATCAAAAACCTGAAATGTCGAAAAATTGAAGAACTGAAGAACCGAAACATCGCAACTTTGGAAAGTCAGGAAATCGGAAAATAAAGAAATAGATTAATTGAGAAATCGGAAAAATGAAAACTCAGAAACGTCAAAATTTGAAAAATTAAAAAATATTGGAGAACTGGAAAATCGAAAGATCGAAAAATCTAAAATTTAAAACATTGAAAAATTTAAAAATTTTGAAGAACTGAAAAATCGAGACCAGAAATGGGAAAATAAAAAAATAGATTAATTGAGAAGTCGGTAAACTGAAAATTCAAAAATCGTCAAAATTTGATGGATTAGCAAATACCGAAGAACTGAAAAATCGAAAAATCTAAAATTTAAACATTGAAAAATTAAAATATTGTAAAATTGAAAAATGGAGGTATTCCAAACAAAAAATCAAAAAATTACAATTCGAAAATTGAAAAAAAGTCGAGAAATCGAAACTCGAAAATAAAAAAAATGGAAAATTGAAAAATCGGATAATTCAAAAATCGTAACACCGAAAATCAAAGAGCCGAAATGTAAAAAATTGAATAATCGAAAAATCGAAAAATTCAAAAACTGAGGCATCGAGAAATCCAAAAATCAAAATATCGAGAAATCGAGAAGTCGAAAAATTAAAAACTGAATTCAGATGTTTCAACATTTTGATTATTCGATTCCTCGATTCATCAATTTTTCAATTTTTAACTTTTCTTTTCCGTTTTCGACTCCTCAATTTCTCAATCCTCTGATTTTTCAATTTCTCGATTTTGTCATTTTCCAGTTCTTCAGTATTTCTATTTTTCAATTTTTGACATCGATGAATTTTCAGTATTCCGATTTCTCAATTATTCTATTTTTGTTTTTCCTATTTCTTGACTTCGTAAAGTTTCGATTTTTCAGTTCCTCCATTCTTTAATTTTTCGATTTTGCAACTTTGCTTTTTTGGTTTTTCGATTTCTCAATTTTCGAATTTTTTAATTTCTCAGTTTTTGGGATATTTTTCCTGTTTTGGGATTTTTCAACACTTCGATTCTTCGACTTTTCGATTTTTCGACTGCTGGATTTTTCAATTTTTATTTTTTGGATTTTCAATTTTTCGCTTTTTAAACTTCAGATTTTTTAATTTTTCGATTGTTTCATATTTTCAATTCTCAATGTTTCAATTTTTTAAATTCCAGATTTTTCGATTTCTCGAATTTTCAGTTTTTCTATAGTTTAAATTTCCAATTTTCCGAATTTTTAAATTTCGATTTTTCAATTTTTTGAGATCTCGATTTATCGAGATTCGAATGTTTCAAAGTTTTGATTGTTCAATCTCTCCATTTATCAATTTTTACATTTTTAACTTTTCGATTTCTCGATTTTGTCCTATTTATAAGTATTTTGGAACATCGAAAAATTGGGAAATCGAAAAATTGAAAAATAAATCCGAAAATCGAAAATTTAAAAATTCCGAAAATTGAAAAACTAAAATATAGAAGAAGAGAACACTCAAGAAATCAAGAAATCGAAAAATCTAAAATTTTAAAAATTGAAAGGTCAAAATATCGAAAAGTTGAAAAATTGAGAAATCGAAGTAGGTATAAAACGTCGAAAAATTGAAAATCCAAACAGTAAAAAGTGAAGAAATCGAAAAACCCAAAAAATCGAAAAGTCGAAAAACTAAAAACTCCCAAAATTGAAGAATCGAAAAATTGAAAAATACAAGAAAAAATGGAGAATCGAAAAATTGAAAAATCACAATATTGAACGATACATATATCCAAAAATTGAAAAATTTAGAAATCGAAAAGTCAAGAAACAAAGTCGAAAAATCGCAAAAATTAAACAACAGATTAATTGAAAAATCGGAAAACTGAAAATTCAGGACCGTCAAAATTTGAACAATTAAAAAATATTGAAGAACTGAAAAATCTAAAAATCTAAAATTTAAAACACTGAAAAATTAAAATATCGCAAAATTGAAAAATGGAGAATTCCAAAACATCAAAAAATTCAAAAAAATAACAAAGTTTCGATTTTTCCATTTTCGACTTTGTTTTTTTGGTTTTTCGATTTCTCAATTTTCCAATTTTTTTAATTTCTCAATTTTCGGATATTTTTTCAGTTTTGGCATTTTTCATTATTTCGATTCTTTGACTTTTCGACTTCCGGATTTTTCAGTTTTTCGTTTTTAAACTTCAGATTTTCAATTTTTCGATTGTTTTATATTTGGAATTCTCAATTTTCGATATTTTAATTCTTCAATTTTTAAAATTTTTAATTTTTCGATTTCTTGAGTTTTCTATATTATAATTTTCCAATTTCCCGAATTTAAATTTTAGATTTTTCAATTTTTTGAAATCTCAATTTATCGAGATTCGGATGTTTCGAAGTTTTGATTGTTCAATCTCTCAATTTATCAATTTTTCCATTTTTAACTTTTCGATTTTTCGATTTTGGCATATTTATATTTCGAAAAATTGGAAAATCGAAAAATTAAAAATTGTGAAAATTAACAATTTGAAATAGAAGAACGGAAAACTCAAGAAATCGAAAAAACCTAAAATTTGAAAAATTGAAAAGTTAAAATATCGAAAATTTGAAAAACTGAAAAATAATTTTAAAAACGACAAATTGAAAATCCAAAAAGCAAAATGTGGGGAAATTGAAAAATCCAGAAACCAAAAAATCTGACGAAGAAGAACTGAAGAACTGAAAAATCGAATCTGGAAAGTCGAGAAATGAAAAAAAAAATGAAATGTCAAATTTTGATGAATTAAAAAATACTGAACGACTGAAAAATTGAAAAAACGAAAAATCTAAAATTTAAAATGTTGAAAAATTAAAAAATATTGAACTGAAAAATCGAAAAATCTAAAATTTAAAACTTTGAAAATTTAGAACATCAAAAAATCAAAAAAACAACAATTCGAAAATTTAAAAAAAGTCGAGAAATCGAAACTCGAAAATGTAAAAACTGCAAAATTGAAAAATCAGATAAATCAAAAATCGGAACATCGAAACATTCAAAAAGTGAGACAAAAGATCGAGAAATCGAAGAGTCGAAAAGTCAAGAAGTCGAAATCTTTCAATTTTTAACTTTTCTTCTCGGCTTTCTCGATCCTCTGATTTTTCGATTTCAGGATGTCTCAGTGTTTGAATTTTTCGAAGTTTCGATTTTTGGATTTCTCGGTTTTTCGATGTTTCGATTTTTCAGTTATCCAATTTTTCAATTTTTCAATTTTTTTAATTCTGGGGTTTCGATCTCTCAATTTGTCGATTTTTTAGTTTTTCGATGTTTAAATTTTAGATTTTCGAATTTTTATTTTTTGATTTTTTGGTGTTTGTCCTATTTATACATTTTCGAAACTTCTAAAAATTGGAAAATCGAAAAATTAAAAAATAAACTGGAAAATCGAAAATTTAAAATTACGAAAATTAAAAAATTGAAATGTGGAAGAACGGAAACTTCAAGAAATCGAAAAACCTAAAACTCTGAATGCTGAAAAGTTAAAATATCGAAAATCGGAGTATAAAACAGTCAAAATTGAAGAATCGAAAAATTGAAGAATAGAAGAAAAACTAAAGAATCTAAAAACTGAAAAATCACAAAATTGAACGAAATATCCAAAAATTGGACAATTAAAAAACTGAAAAATTGAGAAATCGAAAACTCAAAAAATCACAAACTTGAAAAATCGAGAAATTGAAAAATCAAAAACCTTTGCGATATTTTAATTGTTCAATGTTTTAAATTTTTAGAATTTTCGATTACTCGATTTTTTGATTTTTCAGTTCTTCAGTATTTCTATTTTTCAATTTATCAATTTTTGATTTTCCCATTTCTTGACTTCACAAAGTTTCGATTTTTCAGTTCTTCAATTGTTTGACTTTTCGTCTTGGTTTTTTTGGTTTTTCGATTTCTCAATTTTCCAAATTTTCAGTATTTCGATTCTTCGACTTTTCGATTTTTCGATTTCTGGATTTTTCAATTTTTCGTTTTTTATTTTTTGGATTTCAAGTTTTTCGTTTTTTAAACTTCAAATTTCTCGACTGTTCTGTCTCGAATTCTCAATTTTTCAACTTTTCGAAATTTTGATTTTTCAATTTTTAAATTTCTAGATTTTTCGATTTGTCGAATTTTCAGTTCTTTTATATTTTAATTTTTCAATTTTCCGAATTTTTAAGTTTCAGATTTTTCAATTTTCTGAAATCTCGATTTATACAGATTCGGATATTTCGATGTTTTGATTGTTCAATCTCTCGATTTACCAATTTTTCCATTTTTAACTTTTCGATTTTTCGATTTTGGCCTATTTATATTTCGAAACATCGAAAAATTGAAAATTGTGAAAATTAAAAAATTTAAATATAGAAAAACGGAAAACTCAAGAAATCGAAAAACCTAAAACTCTGAAAGTTGAAAAGTTAAAATATCGAAAAGTTGAAAAATTGAGAAATCGGAATATAAAACAGTGAAAACTGAAGAATCGAAAAATTCAAGAATAGAAGAAAAATTAAAGAATCGAAAAACTGAAAAATCACAAAATTGAACGAAATATCCAAAAACTGGACAATTAAAAAACTGAAAAATTGAGAAATCGAAAAGTCAAAATATTACAAACTTGAAAAATCGAAAAATTGAAAAATCAAAAACCTTTGCGATATTTTAATTGTTCAATGTTTCAAATTTTTAGATTTTTCAATTACTGGATTTTTTGATTTTTCAGTTCTTCAGTATTTCTATTTTTCAATTTATCAATTTTTGACGTTGCTAAATTTTCAGTTTTCTGATTTCTTAATTAATCTTCTTTTGACTTTCCCATTTCTTGACTTCACAAAGTTTCCATTTTTCAGTTCTTCAATTCTTTGAATTGATTTTACGATTTTTTATTTGTTGGATGTTCAGTTTTTCGTTTTTTAAACTTCAAATTTTTCAATCTTTCGACTTTTCGATATTTTAACTTTTCAATTTTTAAATTCTAGTTTTTTCGATTCCTCGAAATTTCAGTTCTTGTATATTTTATTTTTTCAATTTTCTAAATTTTAAATTTTCGATTTTTCAATTTTCTGAGATCTAGATTTATCTAGATTCGGATGTTTCGATGTTTTGATTGTTAAAGAGCCGAAAAATAAAAAATTGAAAAATCGAATCATCGAAAAATTCAAAAACTGAGGCATCGAGAAATCGAAAAATCAAAATATTCGATTTCTCAATTTTCGAATTTTTTAATTTCTCAATTTTTTGGATATTTTTTTCAGTTTTGGGATTTTTCAATACTTCGATTCTTCGACTTATCGATTTTTTGACTGCTGGATTTTTCAATTTTTATATTTCGAATTCTCAATTTTTCAATTTTTAAAATTCCAGATTTTTCGATTTCTCGAATTTTCGTTCCTCTATACCTTAATTTTCCAATTTTCCGAATTTTAAAATTTTCGATTTTTCAATTTTTTGAGATCTCGATTTATCGAGATTCGGATGTTTCGAAGTTGTGTTTGTTCAATCTCTCGATTTATCAATTTTTCTACTTTTAACTTTTCGATTTTTCGATTTTGGCCTATTTATAAGTAATTTGGAACATCGAAAAATTGAAAAATAGATCGGAAAATCGAAAATTCAAAAATTCCGGAAATTGACAAATGGAAATATGGAAGAACAGAACACTCAAGAAATTGAAAAATCCGAAATTTTAAAAATTGAAAGGTCAAAATATCGAAAAATTGAGAAAACAAAGTATAAAACGTCGAAAAATTGAAAATCCAAAAAGGAAAAAGTGAAGAAATCGAAAAACCCAGAACCCAAATAATCGAAAAGTCGAATGATAAAAACTCCCAAAACTGAAGAATCGAAAAATTGAAAAATACAAGAGAAATTGAAGAATTGAAAAATCACAAAATTGAACAACATTTCCAAATATTGAAAAATTGGGAAATTAAAAAATTGAAAAATTGAGAAATCGAAAAGTCAAAAAAAACAAAGTCGAAAAATCACAAACTTTAAAAAATCGAAAAATTGAAAAATCAAAAACCTGAAAAATTGAAGAACTGAAGCACTGAAAAATCGAAATGGGAAGTCTAGAAATGGGAAAATAAAACAATAGATTAATTGAGAAATCGGAAAACTGAAAATTCAGAAACGTCAAAATTTGAAAAATTAAAAAATATTGAAGAACTGAAAAATCTAAAAATCTAAACTTTAAAAGACTGAAAAATTAAAATATCGCAAAATTGAAAAATGGAGAATTCCAAACCTCAAAAAATTAAAAAAATTACAAAGTTTCGATTTTTCGGTTTTTCAATTTTTTGAGATCTCAATTTATGGAAATTCAGGTTTCAATGTTTTGATTGTTCAATCTCTCGATTTATCAATTTTTCCATTTTTAGCTTTTCGATTTTGGCCTATACATATATGTATATATTTCGAAACATCGAAAAATTGGAAAATCGAAAAATTAAAAAATAAACTGGAAAATTGAAAATAAAAAAAAATACGAAAATTGAAGAATTGCAATATAGAAGAACGGAAAACTCAAAAAATCGAAAAAAATTCAATTTTAAAAACTGAAACGTTAGAAAATTGAGAAATTGAAGTAAAACAGTGGAAAATTTGAAAAATCCAAAGTTATAAAAACGAAAAATTGAAAATCCAAAAAGTAACTGAAGAATCGAAATGTTGAAACATAGAAGAAAAATTGAAAAATCAAAAACCTGAAAAATCGAAAAATTGAAAAACTGAAGAACCGAAAAATCGAAACTTTGGGAAGTCAGGAAATAGGAAAATAAAAAAATAAATAAATTGAGAAATCGGGAAACTGAAAATTCAAAAAACGTCAAAATTTGATGAATTAACAAATACTGAAGAACTGAAAAATCGAAAAATCTAAAATTTAAAGCATTGAAAAATTAAAGTAAGTAAAATTATTATTATTATAAATTTATTATAGAATTCAAATGGAAATAGAAACGTTGATAACCCTACGTATAAACTTGTTAAGTGAAGAGTGTCCTCATCAACCCTTGTTCCAAAATCTTCCCTTCCCTCAACTCCTGAAGGATCCCCCCAGTCGTATCAGCCTCCGGTTGCTTAATAAACAAGTACCCATACCGCCGATACTTCAATTTCTCCGCCTTATCCATCTTCTGTTGGATCTCAGGATACGTCTTGCAGCAGTACAAAAAGTCTTCCGCTTCCAGCTTGTAAACCTCCACCATTTCCAACGCCGTGATCGTGTAGATGATGTCTTTCGCGTTGTACTTCGCATGATTCAAGATATTCCCGAAATAATACCCGTCTTCTATATGCAACACCTCTTGCTCCCACATCGTACTGATCGCGCAAGTCCCAAAAAGAATAAAGTACAAGCAGCCGGCATCTTCCTTCGAGTGTAGAATTTGGTCCCCCGGCACGAAAATTTCCTGCTTCAGCAGCGCCAGCATGCATCCCACGGCGGATCGAGACAGTCCTTGGAAGATGTGCACTTCTTCGATGAGGTTGTGGCAGCTGTAAAGAAGAACTTCCATCTTCAGATGATCCGACAGAGTGCTGAGGACGAGTTGCTCGGAGAAGAACTTGTGGCTGAATTTGTAGTTGTAGTACTTGTTGATGCGCCTCTTGAGGGATTGTTGGAAGTTCTTCTGGCACATGTAGTTGTCGGTTTGCATTCGGAGATTCTCGAGTTGCGTTTCGGGAAGGTTGAGGATGCCGAAGAGTTGGAGGATTCTGACGAGGCAGTAGAGGTAGAAGGACAGACCTTTCATGCTGATCAAGGCGTACATGAACATCTCGATGGAGTCCTGGGTTTTTAGGTGTTTGGCGTGTGCGCCGAAGAAGTGACAAGAAACCACTAGGAGGTGGAGGAGGTACATTTTGACCGCACTCATGGTGGATATTTTGGTGGTTGTTTTTTCCAATAGAGCGTTTTTTTGTTGAAGGTTCTTGTACACTTCCAACCAGGATTTATTTGTGGGGAGGTGGTAGAGTTGGTGGTGGTAGCTGACGTAGCCGCTTAAGCAAGTGTCACAGTGTAGGAATAGAAGAGCAGTTAATATGAAAAATCAAAATATCGAGAAATCGAGAAGTCGAAAAATCGAAAAACTGAATTCAGACGTTTCAATGTTTTGATTATTCAATTCCTCGATTCATTAATTTTTCAATTTTTAACTTTTCCTCTCCGCTTTCGACTCCTCAATTTCGCGATCCTCTGATTTTTCAATTCCTCGATTATCTCATTTTTCAGTTCTTCAGTATTTCTGTTTTTCAATTTTTGACGTAGATGAATTTTCAGTATTCCGATTATTCTATTTTTGTTTTTCCTATTTCTTGACTTCGTAAAGTTTCGATTTTTCAGTTCCTCCATTCTTTAATTTTTCGATTTTCCAACTTTGCTTTTTTGGTTTTTCGATTTCTCAATTTTCGAATTCTTTAATTTCTCAATTTTTTGGATATTTTTTTCAGTTTTGGGATTTTTCATAACTTCGATTCTTCGACTTTTCGATTTTTTGACTGCTGGATTTTTCAATTTTTATTTTTCGGATTTTCAATTTTTTCAGAGTTTTTTAGACTTCAGAGTTTTCAATTTTTCGACTGTTTTATATTTTGAATTCTCAATTATTGAATTTTTAAAATTCCAGATTTTTCGATTTCTCGAATTTTCAGTTCTTCTATACCTTAATTTTCCGATTTTCCGAATTTTTAAATTTTCGATTTTTCAATTTTTTGAGATCTCGATTTATCGAGATTCGGATGTTTCGAAGTTGTTATTGTTCAATCTCTCGATTTAACAATTTTTCTATGTTTAACTTTTAGATTTTTCGATTTTGGCCTATTTATAATATTCTGGAACATCGAAAAATTGGAAAATCAAAAAATTGAAAAATAGATCGAAAAATCGAAAATTTAAAAATTCCGAAAATTAAAAAATTGAAATATAAAGAAACCGAAAAATCTTAAATTTTAAAAATTGAAAGGTCAAAATATCGAAAAATTGAGAAAACAAAGTATAAAACGTCGAAAAATTAAAAATCCAAAAAGTAAAAAGTGAAGAAATCGAAAAACCCAGAACCCAAAAAATTGAAACGTCGAATGATAAAAACTCCCAAAACTGAAGAATCGAAAAACTGAAAAATACAAGAGAAATTGAAGAATCGAAAAATTGAAAAATCACAAAATTGAACAATATACATATACAAATATTGAAAAAGTGGGAAGTTAAAAAATTGAGAAATCGAAAAGTCAAAAAAAACAAAGTCGAAAAATCACAAACCTTAAAAAATCGATAAATTGAAAAATCAAAAATCTGAAAAATTGAAGAACTGAAGCACTGAAAAATCGAAATGGGAAGTCGAGAAATGGAAAAATAAAACAATAGATTAATTGAGAAATCGGAAAAGAAAATCTAAAAATCTAAAATTTAAAACACTGAAAAATTAAAATATCGCATAATTGAAAAATGGAGAATTCCTAACATCAAAAAATTAAAAAAATAACAAAGTTTCGATTTTTCGGTTTTTCAATTTTTCGAGATCTCAATTTATCGAGATTCGGATGTTCCAATATTTTGATTGTTCAATCTCTCGATTTATCAATTTTTCCATTTTTAACTTATCGATTTTTCGAATTTGGACTATATATTATGTATATTTCGAAACATCGAAAAATTGGAAAATTGAAAATTAAAAAAAAAATCCGAAAATTGAAAAATTGCAATATAGAAGACGGAAAACTCAAAAAAACGAAAAAAATTCAATTTTAAAAACTGAAACGTTGAAAAATTGAGAAAATGAAGTAAAATAGCGGAAAATTTGAAAAATCCAAAGTTATAAAAACGAAAAATTGAAAATCCGAAAAGTGAAAAGTCGAGAAATCGAAAAATCGAAATAGTAAAAAATCCCAAAACTGAAGAATCGAAATATTGAAAAATAGAAGGAAAAAATTGAAGAATCGAAAAACTGAAAAATCACAAAATTGAGAAATCGAAAAGTTGAAAAATTACAGACTTAAGAAATCGAAAAATTGAAAAATCAAAAACCTGAAAAATCGATAAATTGAAGAACTGAAGAACCGAAAAATCGCAACTTTGGGAAGTCAGGAAATAGGAAAATAAAAAAATTGATTAATTGAGAAATCGGAAAAATGAAACTTCAGAAACGTCAAAATTTGAAAAATTAAAAAATATTGAAGAACCGGAAAATCAAAAGATCGAAAAATCTAAAATTTAATACATTGAAAAATTAAAAAATTTTGAAGAACTGACAAATCGAGACCAGAAATGGGAAAATAAAAAAATTGATTAATTGAGAAGTCGGGAAATTGAAATTTCAAAAAACGTCAAAATTTGATGAATTAACAAATACTGAAGAACTGAAAAATCGAAAAATCTAAAATTTAAACATTGAAAAATTAAAATATCGTAAAATTGAAAAATGAACAATTCCACACAAAAAATTAAAAAATAACAATTCGAAAATTGAAATTAATGTCGAGTAAATCGAAATTCGAAAATTTAAAAAATTGGAAAATTGAAAAATTGGATAATTCAAAAATCGTACACCGAAAATCAAAGAGCCGAAAAGTAAAAAATTGAAAAATCGAAACATCGAAAAATTCAAAATCTGAGGCATCGAGAAATCGAAAAATCAAAATATCGAGAAATCGAGAAGTCGAAAAATGGAAAAACTGAAGTCAGACGTTTCAATGTTTTGATTATTCAATTCCTCGATTCATTAATTTTTCAATTTTTAACTTTTCCTCTCCGCTTTCGACTCCTCAATTTCGCGATCCTCTGATTTTTCAATTCCTCGATTTTCTCATTTTTCAGTTCTTCAGTATTTCTGTTTTTCAATTTTTGACGTAGATGAATTTTCAGTATTCCCATTTCTCAATTATTCTATTTTTGGTTTTCCTATTTCTTGACTTCGTAAAGTTTCGATTTTTCAGTTCCTCCATTCTTTAATTTTTCGATTTTGCAACTTTGGTTTTTTGGTCTTTCGATTTCTCAATTTTCGATTTTTTTAATTTCTCAGTTTTTTGGATATTTTTCCAGTTTTGGGATTTTTCATAACTTCGATTCTTCGACTTTTCGATTTTTCGACTGCTGGATTTTTCAATTTTTTTTTTCGGATTTTCAATTTTTTCAGAGTTTTTTAAACTTCAGATTTTCGACTGTTTTATATTTTGAATTCTCAATTTTTGAATTTTTAAAATTCCAGATTTTTCGATTTCTCGAAATTTCAGTTCTTCTATAGCTTAATTTTCCAATTTTCCGAATTTTTAAATTTTCGATTTTTCAATATCTTGAGATCTCGATTTGTCGAGATTCGGATGTTTCGAAGTTGTGATTGTTCAATCTCTCGATTTATCAATTTTTCTATTTTTAACTTTTCGATTTTTCAATTTTGGCCTATTTAAAAGTATTTTGGAACATCGAAAAATTGGAAAATCGAAAAATTAAAAAATAGATCGGAAAATGGAAAATTTAAAAATTCCGAAAATTGAAAAACTGAAATATAGAACAACATCAAGAAATCAAAAAATATAAAATTTTAAAAATTGAAAGGTCAAAATATCTAAAAGTTGAAAAATTGAGAAATCGAAGTATAAAACGTCGAAAAATTGAAAATCCAAAAAGTAAAAAGTGAAGAAATCGAAAAACTCAAAAAATCGAAAAGTCGAAAAACTAAAAACTCCCAAAACTGAAGAATCGAAAAATTGAAAAATACAAGAAAAATTGAAGAATAGATAAATTGAAAAATACAAGAAAAATTGAAGAATCGAAAAATTGAAAAATCATAAAATTGAACGATATATCCAAAAATTGAAAAATTGAGAAATCGAAAAGTCAAAAAACAAAGTCGAAAATGCGCAAACCTCAAAAAATCGGAAAACTGAAAATTCAGAAACGTCAAAATTTGAACAATTAAAAAATATTGAAGAAAAATTAAAATATCGCAAAATCGAAATACTAAAAAATCCCAAAACTGAAGAATCGAAAAATTGAAAAATAGAAGAAAAATTGAAGAATCGAAAAATTGAAAAATCAAAAACCTGAAAAATCGAAAAATTGAAAAACTGAAGAACCGAAAAACCGAAACTTTGGTTAGTCAGGAAATAGGAAAATAAAAAAATTGATTAATTGAGAAATCGGAAAACTGAAAATTCAAAAAACGTCAAAATTTGATGAATTAACAAATCCTGAAGAACTGAAAAATCGAAAAATCTAAAATTTAAAACATTGAAAAATTAAAGTAAGTAAAATTATTATGATTATATATTTATTATAGAATACATATGGAAATAGAAACGTTGATAATCCTACGTATAAACTTGTTAAGTGAAGAGTGTCCTCATCAACCCTTGTTCCAAAATCTTCCCTTCCCTCAACTCCTGAAGGATACCCCCCGTCGTATCAGCCTCCGGTTGCTTAATAAACAAGTACCCATACCGCCGATACTTCAATTTCTCCGCCTTATCCATCTTCTGTTGGATCTCAGGATACGTCTTGCAGCAGTACAAAAAGTCTTCCGCTTCCAGCTTGTAAACCTCCACCATTTCCAACGCCGTGATCGTGTAGATGATGTCTTTCGCGTTGTACTTCGCATGATTCAAGACATTCCCGAAATAATACCCGTCTTCTATATGCAACACCTCTTGCTCCCACATCGTACTGATCGCGCAAGTCCCAAAAAGAATAAAGTACAAGCAGCCGGCATCTTCCTTCGAGTGTAGAATTTGGTCCCCCGGCACGAAAATTTCTTGCTTCAGCAGCGCCAGCATGCATCCCACGGCGGATCGAGACAGTCCTTGGAAGATGTGCACTTCTTCGATGAGGTTGTGGCAGCTGTAAAGAAGAACTTCCATCTTCAGATGATCCGACAGAGTGCTCAGGACGAGTTGCTCGGAGAAGAACTTGTGGCTGAATTTGTAGTTGTAGTACTTGTTGATGCGCCTCTTGAGGGATTGTTGGAAGTTCTTCTGGCACATGTAGTTGTCGGTTTGCATTCGGAGATTCTCGAGTTGCGTTTCGGGAAGGTTGAGGATGCCGAAGAGTTGGAGGATTCGGGCGAGGCAGTAGAGGTAGAAGGACAGACCTTTCATGCTGATCAAGGCGTACATGAACATCTCGATGGAGTCCTGGGTTTTTAGGTGTTTGGCGTGCGCGCCGAAGAAGTGACAAGAAACCACTAGGAGGTGGAGGAGGTACATTTTGACCGCACTCATGGTGGATATTTTGGTGGTTGTTTTTTCCAATAGAGCGTTTTTTTGTTGAAGGTTCTTGTACACTTCCAACCAGGATTTATTTGTGGGGAGGTGGTAGAGTTGGTGGTGGTAGCTGACGTAGCCGCTTAAGCAAGTGTCACAGTGTAGGAATAGAAGAGCAGTTAATATGAGAATCAGAGGGACTCGAGTGGTCTCTTGAAGTTTCGACGACGATAAAACCCGCGATATATTTTTGACCACCGTGATTAGTCGTATTGCCCTTAGTGAAGTCAGGTGGTAGATGAAGAATTGAATCTTGCTGTCTCTGTGTCCTATGAAGTAGAACAAAAAGTAGCTGACAGTGGCGATCCCGTCGAAGAAGAAGAACGTTTTGAGGTACTGGTGAGCGATGTTGCGGCGGTTCAAATTCACGGTTCGGGTTTTCTCTTCCGTGTACCCGGTGAAGAACCGGACCACCAAATCCCCGAAGAACACCAAATTCACGAATAAAATCACAGAATGCACCTCGTGTCTTTCGTCGCTGTAGAAGTGTTGTCCGTGGAAAGTACCCACGAACGATTCGAAAAAAATAAAAAACAGCCACATCACAGTCATGACGATGTTTTTTCTCCGTTCGAATCTACTGAACGGGTGTATGACCCACTTGAATGAAGGATTCGTCAGATGACGTTGTCTCTCCTTCGTATACGAAGCGAAACTCCTGAAGTAGAGCCGACTGTCGTCGTTCCAGCTGATGGTCAAGTACCCTCTGAGCCAGAAGACGAATTTTGCTAGGAACGTGGAGTAGGGGGAACGTCTGTGCTTCGTTCCCATGGGGCTTCGGGCGTCAAGCGTGCACCCGTGGTGGAACCGGTGCTTGACGCGGATGTTCATAATGGTACTACAAAATATACTCCAAGAACTGGGTCAAATTTTGCTCAAACCTACCTTTGGAACTTCATTTTGGAACGCAATTTCGACTTGTTACGTCACTAAGTTGGAAAATTTGTTTGACATTTCAGGCGTCATTTCCACATCCAGGAATCTGCGTTTATCCGACGTCAGTCATAGCTGTCAAATGAAGATCAAGCAATACATACGACACGAATGTGTCCCCAGCAAAGAAAAAAAGGGGATATCCTGAGGTCCCCTTGCTCCTCCGCCATACGTAGATTAGATTTTTGGTATCAGAGCTTCAGAACGGTTGATAAGAATCTCAATAGTGATTAATCTTTTTATTCGTCCTGAGACGGGGAGTGCAGAGAAGACCATTACCCTTTTTTTTGGAAAGAACGTTTGAGGCGTCCAAATTGGAAAATCGGTTCCACATTCAAAATTTGTGAAGTACTTATTCTGTAAAGTCCTTTTTGCTTGGTTTAGAGTATTTAAATTTATATTTTATATTTTCCTTATTACACATTCTATTTTTTCAATCTTTATCTGATGTGTCGTTAACCCATGTTGTATATTTATCTGATGAATAAAACATCACCAACACTATCAATATGAACAAAAAAACCCTTAGAACATAAGGTGTGGACCGAATAATTTGTAAAAAAAAATAACAATTTTTTAAGTTTAGAGTATTTACATTTATATTTTACACTTTCCTTTTCACACATTCTATTTTTACAATTTTTATCTGATGTGTCATTAACCCATGTTGTACATGTATATGGCGAATAAAACATCACGATCACTATCAATATGAACAAGAAAAAACCCTTGAAATATAAGGTGTAGATCGAATAATTTGTAAAAAAAAAAAATAACAATTTATCTGTTTTCTCACCAACGGTTTAATAGATTTGCCGAAGGTTCTAATAAGACAATATTGTTAAAAATTAGCAGTCTTGCCCAGAATGAATAGGGGGTGGGTGGGCGGGCCTATAGCTTTCCTATAAAAGTCTCTCTAGAAAAAAGTTAAACTTAGTCCCGCTCACCCACCCGTTCTGTAATTTTGTTTTCTTCTCAAATAAGAAATAATACAACAAAACGAATACTACAACAAAAATTGGTCTAAAGAGTTTAGACAGTACTTCCCTCGCTGTCGGAAACTTGACGACTGCATGCCTATTGTGTTTTTTTTCTCATTACATTTTTGTAGTGGGAATTTAAAAAAAATTGCGATGACGTCATCAACATTTTTGCAAGGACACGCATATCAGTTGGGATAGATGTAGTGTAATACTAAGAATAAAATTATTATGTTCTCAAATTTTCGGGAAAATGAATTGGGTCGTTTTGAATATTGATTTGTAATAATCAATAAACTAACGAAACAATTTACTCACGTATACGTATCAGAGGCAACTGAAAATCGTGTATGTATAAACATTCTTAATTTAAGATGACAGGCGTAACAGCATACGTGAGAGTCAAACAGAGAAACTGTAAACAAAACGACCATCGGTTTTATTGCTTCGACTTCCGTTTATTATATAAAACATTGGGTTTTATTTTAATTCTTGACGGTGAAATTCACAATTGGTTGATAATAAACATGTCTATTTCACATTCGCGGAACCAAGTGAGCGCATAAAACAAATGCAGGTCTGTAATGTTAAAGTCGATGTAAATAAGCGTGCTACCCTTATGTTTCAACCGAGTTTTTCCTTTAACAAATTTTGTGTCAACCAAATTGGGTTGGTTGGGGTGTAATACTAATAATAAGTGTTGCCTTTAATTTAATCAATAAAATAAATTGACTTCATTAATTTTTTTGAACCACCTCTTAAGAAAATCTAAAAAATATGAATGGAATGATAAATCACAAGTACAAACTCATCATATTTTTTGCATTTTAGATAGGATTTATTCAGCAAAATTTAAGGGTGACGTCATCAATTTTTTTAGGAGGGATGAACAAATACATTTTGAACAAAACTTTACCATGCTTATAATAACTTTAAAATATTCCCAAGATTTCAAAGCATTCGGTTTTGTAATTCCTGATTAAATCCATAAAATAAAATAAATTCACGATTTCATTAATTTTTTTGAGTCACCCTGCATATGCAAATCCAAAAATATGAATGGAGTGATAAATCACAAGTACAGACTCATCATATTTTGTACATTTTAGATACGATTTATTCGGCAAACTTTTGAGCTGACGTCATCAGTTTTTTGTAGAAGATAACCAAATATATTTTGACTAAAAATTTATTATGCTCTTTATAACCTTAAAACATCTGCAAGATTTCAAAGCATTCGGTTTTGTAGTTCCTGATTAAATCAATAAAATAAATTTACGCATTCATTAATTTTTTTGAGTCACCCTGTATATGCAAATCGAAAAAATTTGAATGGAATGATAAATCACAAGAAGAGACTCACCATATTTTGTACATTTTAGATAGGATTTATTCAGCAAAATTTTGTGGTGACGTCATAAATTTTTTAGGGGGGACGACCAAATACATTTTGATCAAAAATTTACCATGCTTATGATAATTTTAAAATATCTTCAAGATTTCGAAGCATTCGGTTTTGTAGTTCCTGAGTAAATCAGTAAAATAAATTTACGCTTTCATTTATTTTCTTGAATCACCCTGTATATGCAAATCCAAAAAATATGAATGGAGTGATAGATCACAAGTACAGACTGATCATATTTTGTACATTTTAGATATGATTTATTCGGCAAATTTTCGAGCTGACGTCATCAAGTTTTTGGAGGGGATAAGCAAATATATTTTGACTAAACATTTATTATGCTGTTTATAACCTTAAAACATCTGCAAGATGTCAGAGCATTCCGTTTTGTAGTTCCTGATTAAATCAATAAAATATATTTACGCATTCATTAATTTTTTTGAGTCACTCTGTATATGCAAATCCAAAAAATATGAATGGAGTGATAAATGACAAGTACAGGCTCATCATATTTTGTACATTTTAGATATGATCTATTCGGCAAACTTTCGAGCTGACGTCATCAAGTTTTTGGAGGGGATAAGCAAATATATTTTGACTAAACATTTATTATGCTCTTTATGACCTTAAAACATCTGCAAGATTTCAGAGCATTCGGTTTTGTAGTTCCTGATTAAATCAATAAAATATATTTACGCATTCATTAATTTTTTTGAGTCACCCTGTATATGCAAATCCAAAAAATATGAATGGAGTGATAGATCACAAGTACAGACTCATCATATTTTGTACATTTTAGATATGATTTATTCCACAAACTTTTGAGCTGACGTCATGAAGTTTTTGGAGGGGGTAAGCAAATATTTTTTGACTAAAGATTTATGATGCTCTTTATAGCCTTAAAACATCTGCAACATTTCAAAGCATTCTGGTTAGCAGATTAAAAATGAATTTTCAAAATGTTGTTTTATAATTTTGATTTTTTTTCCAAAAATCTGGACGTTTCGGGTGAAAAGTCGATTCGGAGTTGTAAACTACATGTGTAGGACTATGTTATTTTATACAATTGAAAACCCATTTACTATGTACAATTTTGAAGTGACGTCATCGCATTAGTGGTGGGGATGATTAGACAAATTTTGGTTAGCGTTTTACCATCTACATGATATTCTTAATATAAGTACAAAATTTCACAACAATCGGTCGAGTACTTTCGGAGATTATCTGTCTAATAAAAATCCGGGGGCAGACGGACAGACGGACAGACGGACGGACAGACGGACGGACGGACAGACGGACGGACAGACGGACAGACGGACGGACAGACGGACAGACAGACGGAAATGGGAGACCTATTTCTTCGTCTTCTAGGGGTCATGAAAGATCGAGAAAACGTAAAAGTAGAGAGTCGGCCGACGGACTCGATTACAATACTTCGTTTGCTTACGCTCGGGAAGTAATAACAATTTATCTGTTTTCTCACCAAGGATTTAATAGATTTGCCGAAGGTTCGTTCCAATAAGACAATATTGTCAATAATTAAAAGTATTAACCAGAATGAAGAAGGGGTGGGTGGGCGGGCCAACAGTTTTGCGATAAAAGTCTCTCTAGAAAAAAGTTAAACTTAGCCCCACCCACCCACCCGTTCTCTCATTTTGTTTTCTTCTCAAATAAGAAATAATACAACAAAACGAATAGTACAACAAAATGTCACGATTGGCGCTTTTTTTTCACAGCCTAGTTTCTATAAATTGGTTACCACTCCCACTCTGCAGAAGAACATATGACAAACCCCGCCCACCCATTCCACCCCATTTCGGTGATTAAGTTTATATAAAAAAAATACTACCTCAATTGAAGAAAAGAAGAAGAGGAAACTTAAAACACGTTTACAATAGTAAATTTTTGTATAAAAATATGGATTGTGCAATTAAACTCCGCCCCTCTATCTGACAACGAATACAAAATTCATTACAGCTGAGTTAGGGGCGGGTGGGTGGGGCTTAATAATTGGCATCATTTTCTTAACCTATACCTATTTTCGACAACATGAAATTTAAACCGTAATTCTAAGTTCAAATTTACCATTTGATATTTGAAGTATTTTATTATTGAAAGAAGACCATATATATGTAGTAAGAAATTCAAAGGTTAAGCCCCACCCACCCGCCCCATTTCAGTCGTGATTAATCTTTTTATTCGTCGTGAGGCGGGGAGCGGAACTTCAATGCAATTTTCATCTCTCTCTACACGAAAATACCATGTGGAATATTATTTAAGTATGGTGTTATTGAAAGAAAACTGCACATATTAAAAAAATAAAGTCAAAAATTAAGCCCCGCCCACCTGCCCTATCTCTGTTTACATTTTGCCTTTTTGTTTTATTACGTGTAGACTTCTTTTAATAACATGAAACTTAAAACATGTTTAAGATGGAAAAGTCAAAGTCGACAAGTCGAAAAATTGAGAAACCGAAATAGGCCAAAATTGAAAAATCAAAAAATTTAAAAATTCGAAAAATTTAAAAATTGAAATATTGAGAAATCGAAACATTCGAAAAATTCGAAAAAATTGAAAAATTGAAATATCGAAGAACTGAAATGAAAAATCTAAAAATCTAAAAATCTGAAATTTAAAAGTTGACAAACTGAAAAATCGAGAAAGTAAAAAAATTGACACATCGAAAAATCCAAAAGTCAAAAATCGAAAAGTCGCAGAATGGAAATATTGAAAAAACACAAAACTGAAATATCGAAAAACTTCAAAATGATTGAAAAACTGTAATATCCAAAAGCTGAGAATCCAAAAAATTGCAAAATTGAGGATTCGAAAAATCATAAAAGTGAAGTCGAAAAGTCGAAATCTTACAAAAAATCGAAAAATTGAAAAATCAAAAACCTGAAAAATCGAAAAATTGAAGAATTGAAGAACTGGAAAATCGAAACAGTCGAAAGTCAAGAAATGGAAAAATAAAAACTTCAATTAATAGAAAAATTGAGAATTTTGAAAAATCAAAAATCTAAAAAACGAAATATGTACTTATTTAAAAATCGTTAAATTGAAGAGGACAAAAATTGAAAAAACGTAAAACCGAAACACCGGAAAATCGAAATTCGAGAAATTGTAAAATCGAAAAATTGAAATATCCAAAACCTGAGAAATTAAAAAATTGAAAAATTGAAGAATTGAAAAATTGAAAAACCCAGAGTTTATAAAAGTCAAATTTGAAAAATTGAAAAATCGAGATTTTTAAGTCATAGAATTGAAGAGGAGAAAACTTGGAAAAACGTAAAATTGAAACATCGGAAAATGGGGAAATTGGAAAATAGAAAATCCTGAAATTGAAAAATTTTAAAATGGAAAAATTGAATAATAAATAAACTGAAATTTTGAAAAATGAAAGAAAAACTGAAATATTCCAAAACTGAGAAATTAATAAACTGAAGAATTGAGAAATCGGAAGCTTAAGAAAACAGAAAAATTGGAAAATCGTAAAATTGAACAGAACAAAAATTGAAAATCGTAAAACTCAAACATTGGAAAATTGAAAATCGAGAAATTGAAAATTTGAGAAATTGTAAAATCGAAACGTTTAATAATAAATAATGTGAAAATTCCCAGAACTGAAATTTTGAAAAATTGAAAAAATGAAAGAAAAACTGAAGAATGGCAAAACTGAAAAATCTCAAAATTGAAACATCCAAAAACTGATAAATTAAAAAACTGAAAAATTGAGAAATCAAAAAGTCAAAAAAGTGAAGTCGAAAAATCAAAACCTTGAAATATCGGAAAATCGTGAAATTGAATAATAAGTAAACTGAAAAGTCACAAAACTGAAATTTCGAAAAATTGTTGTTGCTTAATAATTGGCATCATTTTCTTAACCTATACCTATTTTCGACAACATGATATTTAAACCGTAATTCTAAGTTCAAATTTACCATTTGATATTTGAAGTATTTTATTGTTGAAAGAAGACCATATATATGTAGTAAGAAATTCAAAGGTTAAGCCCCACCCACCCGCCCCATCTCAATCGTGATTAATCTTTTTATTCAACGTGAGGCGGAGAGCAGTGTTTAAAAACAAATTTCAAATTTCTCTACACGAAAATACCATGTGGAACATGTTTTAAGTATGGTGTTGTTGAAAGAAAACTACACATATTAAGAAAAGAAAGTCAAAAATTAGGCCCCACCCACCCGTCCCGATCTCTATTGTGATGAATTTTTTATTCGTTTAAAATTGGGGGGCGGAGCCTAACTGTAAAGTCCTGATGTATCCGACAGAACTTGCGTTTAATTTGTTTTCAACTATGGAAAAATTTTTGAACATTTGAAATCTCTAATTCCTGAAAAAAAAGTTAATTTAAAACTCTATATTTACATGAAATGAAACTTGATCGCCAAATTGTAAGTTTTAAATTGCCTTTTTGTCAGAATTGAGAAAGTCGGAGTATAATTTAATTCTTATTAGTTTGTAAATTTAAATACCATTATAAATATAATTAATTCACTTTAATTTTTGTTCAAATATACTTTAATTTTTAATCAACAGATGTTTTATTCCGTCTGTCCTTACTGGGGTACAACCGTACCGCGCAAAAACGGGATCAAATTTTGGTCAAACCTACCTCTGGATCTTCATTTCGAACGCAAAATTTTCTCTTGTTACGTCGCTAAGCTGTAAAATTTGTTTGACGTTTGAAGCGTCATTCCCGAATCCAGCAATCCAGTGATGCGTTTTTCTCAAACGCTCGAAATAATTGGCAACTATAAAGAAGAACTTCCATCCGGCGAAGTTCGGAGAGTGTTTCAGAAGTAGGTGGTAGTGTTTGGGACGTGTTCTCAAGCGGGAGGGTTCGTTCTTGACTGCTTTGCGTCCACGACAAGTTCCCCGAATCCGACTTCAGTCAAATGAAGATTAAGCAACAAATACGACACGAATGTTCCCTCAGCAAAGAACAAAAAGGGGATATCCTGAGGTCCTCTTATTCCTCCCCCATACGTAAATTATCTTTTTGGTATCAGAGCTTCAGAACGGTTAATAAGAGTGAGGAAAGTATCCCGTACTTTCGAAGCCAATGTGCTTTCCTCAAAGAAAAGATATTCAAAAACATGTTTTTAATTTCTTGTAAAGAAATAAGTATTTTGTAGTTAAGCTCCGCCCCCTTGGTTCACGGTTAATGAAACAAATCATCACAATTGAGATGGGGCGGGTGGGCGGGCTTACATTTTGTCTTTTTGTTTTAATACGTGTAGACTTCTTTTTACAACATGAAACTTAAAACATGTTTAAAATGAAAAAAATTGTATAAGGAAATATCGATTTTGCAATTAGGCTCTGCTCCATAATTGCAAAATCCATATTTCCTTGCAAAAATGTACCATTTTAACCATGTTTTAAGTCTCTTGTTGTGAAAAGATGGCTACGCATATTAAGAAAAAAAAGCCAAAATACAATTGTGTTAGAAAATATTTTCCGTCAAATAAGATTGAAACAAGAAATGCCAACTTCAGTTTAGGTCATTTCTTAACAATTGAAGAGAAGAAGAAGAGGACATTTAAAACATGTTTAAAATGGTAAATTTTGGGAAAAAATAGGCATTTTGCAATTAAACTCCGCCCCTCTATCTGACAACGAATAAAAAGTTCATCACAAGTGAGATAGGGGCGGTTGGGTGGGGCTTAATTATTTGCTGCTTTTTCTTAACATATACCTATTGTCAACAACACCAAATACCATTTAATATTTCAAGTATTTTGTTGAAAGAAGACTATGTATATGTATCAGGAAAAACAAATGAGAAGCCCCACCCACCCGCCCCATCTCAATTGTGATTAACCTTTTTATTCGTCTTGAAGCGGGGAGTGGAAAGAAGAGCATTACCCTTTTTTTGGAAAGACTGTTTGAGGAGTCCAAATTGGAAAATCGGGTATTTATTCTGTAAAGTCCTTTTTGGTTGGTTTAGGGTATTTACATTTATATTTTATCTGATGTGTCATTAACCCATGTTGTACATATATATGACGAATAAAACATCACGATCACTATCAATATGAACAAGAAAAAACCCTTTAAACATAAGGCGTAGATCGAATAATTTGTAAAAAAAAAATAACAATTTATCTGTTTTCTCATCAACGGTTTAATAGATTTGCCGAAGGTTCTAGTAAGACAATATTGTCAATAATTAATAGTATTGACTAGAATGAAGAGGGGGGGGGGCTACAGCTTTCCTATAAAAGTCTCTCTAGAAAAAAGTTAAACTTAGGCCCGCCCACCCACCCACCCGTTTTCTCAATTTGTTTTCTTCTCAAATAAGAAATAATACAGCAAAACGAATAGGACAACAAAAATGTTACGATTGGCGCTTTTTTTCCACAGCCTAGTTTCTATGAGTTACTTACTCCGCCCAATCATCTGCCTCCATTTCGGTGATTAATTTTATACAAAAGAAAGTACTACCTCGATTAGAAAAGAAGAAGAGGAAACTTAAATAACTTAGAAAAATATGGATTTTGCAATTAAACTCCGCCCCTCTATTTGACAACGAATAGCTAATTCATCACAACTGAGTTAGGGGCGGGTCGGTGGGGCTTAATAATTGGCACCTTAAGGTCTTAACCTATACCTATTTTCGACAACACGATATTTAAACCGTAATTCTAACTTCAAATCTACCATTTGATATTTGAAGTATTTTTGTTGTTGGAAGCAGACTACGTAATTTACAAAAAGAAAGTCAAAGAAAAGCCCCACCCACCCGCCCCATCTCAATCGTGATTAATCTTTTTATCCGTTAGAGGCGGAGAGCAGGAAACTACACAAATTAAGAAAATAAAGTCAAAAATTAAGCGCCACCCACCCGCCCCGATCTCTATTGTGATGAATTTTTTATTCGTTGTGAGATTGGGGGACGGAGCCTAACTGTAAAGTCCTGATGTATCCGACAGTACTTGCGTTTAATTTGTTTTCAACTATGGAAAAATTTTTGAACATTTGAAAAAGCTAATTCCTGAAAAAAATGTTAATTTAAAAACTCTACATTTACATAAAATGAAATTGATCGCCAAATTGTAAGTTTTAAATTGCCATTTTGTCATAATTTTGAAAGTCGGAGTATAATTTAATTCTTATTAGTTTGTAAATTCAAATATCATTATAAATATAATTAATTCACTGTTGTTTTTGTTCGGATACACTTTAATTTTTAATCAACGGATGTTTTATTCCGTCTGTCTTTACTGGGATACAACCGTACCGCGCAAAAACGGGATCAAATTTTGGTCAAACCTACCTCCGGATCTTCATTTCGAACGCAAAATTTTTTCTTGTTACGTCGCTAAGCTGTAAAATTTGTTTGACGTTTGGAGCGTCATTCCCGAATCCAGCAATCCAGTGATGCGTTTTTCTCAAACGCTCGAAATAATTGGCAACTATAAAGAAGAACTTCCATCCGGCGAAGTTCGGAGAGTGTTTCAGAAGTAGGTGGTAGTGTTTGGGACGTGTTCTCAAGCGGAAGGTTTCGTTCTTGACTGCTTTGCGTCCACGACAAGTTCCCCGAATCCGACTTCAGTCAAATGAAGATTAAGCAACAAATACGACACGAATGTACCCTCAGCAAAGAACAAAAAGGGGATATCCTGAGGTCCCCTTACTCCTCCCCCATACGTAAATTATCTTTTTGGTATCAGAGCTTCAGAACGGTTAATAAGAGTGAGGAAAGTATCCCGTACTTTCGAAGCCAATGTGCTTTCCTCAAAGAAAAGAAGCGGCATTTACTGACTGAAGAGTATAAATCGATCTTGCATCCTTTCAGCCAGATTATTCGCAAAAAGCGAGTGATAATGTTCTTTATGTGGTTGACGTCGTTCGCGATGGACCCCTATTTGGGGACTTTCTATGCGAAGATTTACCTTCACCCCGACAGAGGGATACTACCGTTCGACTTCATCCAAGGAATTATGGCTTGTTTGTACTTGATTGACGTGATCTCGCGATTTTATACCGGCTATTTCATAGAAATGACAGGAGTGGTGGTTCTGGAGCCGAAAAAAATCTACAATCACTACTTGAAGATTTACTTTTTCTTCGACTTTTGCGGTGTGGTGCACATGTTCTTCATGTTAGTGTTGCGTCGGTACTTGTCTTTGAGAGCCCAGGTGCTCATCTACCCTATGGTCAGCATCCGTGTAGTACGCTTAATAACGCTGTTGTATAACTTCAACGTAGTGTTGCGAGAATTCAGATGCCGCGAAGTTGCCAGGAAAATCTACACGACGGTCCTGTTCTCCATCTTGCTTATCCACTGGTCCACTTGTCTCCTGGCTCTGGTTCCTGTGATTCGCGAGATCCACAACCACTGGAGCAAGGAGTCTTGGTTGACACCCTTGTACTTGTACCGCCAAAACATTCTAGTCGCCGAGGAAACGAACGTAACTCGCGCCTTGGAATTCCAGATATTCTACGGCACCTTCGTCGACTACCTCCACCACGTCCAACTCGTCATCAGCCACTTCTTCGGCGCCGGCGTCGGCGAATACCAAACCCACGACGCCCTCGAGAGGATGCTCTTCTTCATCCTCACGGCGGGTCTCATGTACTGGACCACGGTGCTCGCGCACATCCTCCAAATTTTCGGGACCCTCTACATCTCGGAGTCGAAATTCGAAGAACTCGCCATGGAAGTGAAGCACTTTATGCTCAGGAACCGGTTCCCGAAAAGGTTGAGAAAGCGCATCCGGAGGTACTACACACTCAAGTCCCACAGGAAGTTTTCCTCTGAAACGATTATTTTGAACACGCTATCGGAACATCTCCGGATGGAAGTCCTTCTTTATAGCTGTCAGATTCCGATCGACGACGTGCAGATCTATCCAGACCTAGACGAACTGACACTAGACCGGATACTACACCGTAAAATCGCCTTATGTCCCCATTAGTATAAATATATATCCCAGACTTATTCCTCTTTTTCTTGACGGAGCCACTTTATTAGACGCCCTCCGAGCAATCGTCGATCCTCATAATCCTCCACTTTTCGCTTTCCTTGCGAACCGTCACACTTGTGCTTTTAAATCGCGAACCCATGTCAGTAAAATTCAGAGAAATCCGACGAACTTGTCCGGTTCTTTGCCCGCAACGAAATTCTCATCCAGCTGGAGTTTCTTTGATCCGGGGCGAAATTTTAATTTCATAAAGCAATTTTCGAGTACGAAATTATTAAAAAAACATCCCTGTTGCGGTTGTAAAATTTTTACGGCCGGTACAAAGTTTACGAGGGGTGGGTGGGCGTAGCGGCGACAATAAACGGGGAAAGGGTGGGGGATGGAGAAATTAAGGTGGGAGCTAGACGATGGGTAAATTTGAATTGGGCGCTATTAAGTCTACCTGGGCTGAGTTCATACATATTTTATTATTCATAACAAACACAAAAGTTTAAAATGATCTCGAGGTACACAGAGATTTATTTATTTAAAAGTTTTATTTATGATAAAGATTGAAAGAATCTCGTGAGCCCCTGGTAGGTATGTACATGTGTTAATTATTGACATGCAACTATTTTTTGTTTTTTTAAGAAATGATTCTTAAATTGTGTTTGGTACTAACAAAATTCCGCAAATTAACAATCCTTTTGCAGTGTAGTTACTTTTATTTTATGCTTGATATTGACATTTTTCGATTTTTCGATTTCCTGCTTTTTCAAGTTTCGAATTTATAATTTTTCGAAATTTTAGTTTTGGAACTTTTCAGTTTATTTATTAATCAATTTTTGGGTCTTATAATTTCTCAATTTTCAGTTTTTCGATGTTTCAGTTTTACGATTTTTAAATATTTCGATTTTTCAATTTTTGACCTTTATAAACTCTAAATTTCCCGATTTTTCAATTAATCGATGTTTTGATTTTCCCATTTCTTGACTTTCGACTATGTATTTCGATTTTCTAGTTCTTCAATTCTTCAATTTTTCGATTTTTTAGGTTTCTGATTTTTCAATTTTTCAATTTTTTTAAGGTTTCTATTTTCCGACTTCACTTTTTTGATTTTTCGATTTCTCAATTTTTCAGTTTTTTAATTTCTCAGTTTTTCTTTCATTTTTCAATTTTTCGAAATTTTAGTTTTGGGACTTTTCAGTTTACTTATTATTCAATTTCACGATTTTCCGATATTTCAAGGTTTTGATTTTTCGACTTCATTTTTTTGACTTTTTGATTTCTCAATTTTTCAGTTTTTTCATTCTTCAGTTTTTCTTTCATTTTTCAATTTTTCGAAATTTCAGTTCTGGGATTTTTCACATTATTTATTTATTAAATTTTTCGATTTTCAATTTTCCAATATTTGAGTTTTATGGTTTTCAATTTTTGTCCTCTTCAATTTTACGATTTTAAATAAAATTTCGATTTTTCAATTTTTCAATTTATGACTTTCTTAAATTGACAATTTTTCCATTGTTCAATTAATCGATGTTTTGATTTTCCCATTTCTTGATTTTCGATTGTTTAGATTTTTCAGGTTTTTTATTTTTCAATTTTATGATTTTCAGTTTTTCAATTTCCAATTTTCCAATGTTTCAATTAATGTTTTTAAATATTTCGATTTTTCAATTTTTCAAATTTGAATTATATAAACTGTTTTTTCATTTTTCGTTTCTACAATTCTTCAATTTTTCAATTTTTTAGGTTTTTGAGTTTTCAATTTTTTCAGGTTTTGATTTTTCGATTTCACTTTTTTAACTTTTTGATTTCTCAATTATTCAATTTTGTAATTTGTGTTTTTGGATATTTCAATTTTGAGATTTTTCATCTTTTCCATTCTTCAGTTTTTCTTTCATTTTTCAATTTTTCGAAAGTTCAATTTTGGGAGTTTACACATTATTTATTATTAAATTTTTCGATTTTACAATTTCCCATTTTTTCAATTTTTCGATTTTCAATTTCACGATTTTTAAATACGTATTTCGATTTTTTAATTTTTCAATTTTTGACTTTTCTAAATTCTCAATTTTTCGATTTTTCAATAAATGTTTTGATTTTCCCATATCTTGATTTCGACTGTTTCGATTTTCCAGTTCTTCAATTTTTCAAATTTTCGATTTTTTTTAAAGTTTCGATTTTTCGACTTCACTGTCTTGATTTTTTTGATTTTTCAATTTTTCAATTCTTCAGTTTTCTTAAAGTTTCGATTTCTCAATTTTTCAGTTTTTTAATTTTTCAGTATTGGATATTTCAGTTTTGGGATTTTTCAGTTTTGCTTTCATTCTTCAAAACTTCAGTTTTGGGATTCTTCAGTTTATTTATTATTCAATTTTTCCATTTTAAAATTTTTCAATTTCACGATATTCTATGTTTCAGTTTCCCAATTTTTCGATGTTTCAATTTTACGTTTTTCCAATTTTTCTCCTCTTCAATTCTACGACTTTTAAATAGTTCGATTTTTCAATTTTTCAAATTTGACTTTCATAAACTCTGGGTTTTTCAATTTTTCAATTCTTCAATTTTTCAATTTTTTTGGTTTCTAATTTTCCGATTTCCAATTTTTTAAGGTTTTGATTTTTCTACTTAACTTTTTTGACTTTTTGATTTTTCAGATCAGTTTCAATTTCTCTTTCATTTTTTAATTTTTCGAAATGTCAGTTTTGGGATTTTTCAGATTATATTTATTATTCAATTTTTCGATTTTACAATTTCTCAATTTTTCAATTTCTCGATTTTCAATTTTCCGATGTTTCAGTTTTAGATTTTTCAATTTTTGTCGTCTTCAATTCCACGATTTTTAAATACGTATTTCGATTTTTCAATTTTTCAATTTTTGACTTTTCTAAATTCTCAGGTTTTTGACTTTTCAATTTTTCGATTTTTTTTTAAGTTTCGATTTTTTGATTTTTCGATTTTTCAATTTTTCTGTTTTTTTTTAAAGTTTTGATTTCCCAATTTATTTTTCAATTTCCCAATTTTCCGATGTTTCAATTTTAGGTTTTTCCAATTTTTCTCCTCTTCAATTCTACGACTTTTAAATAGTTCGATTTTTCAATTTTTCAATTCTTCAATTTTTCAATTTTTTTGGTTTTTCAAGTTTCCGATTTCTTAAGGTTTTCATTTTTCTACTTCACTTTTTTGACTTTTTGATTTTTCAGTTCAGCTTCAGTTTTTCTTTAATTTTTTAATTTTTCGAAATCAGTTCTGGGATTTTTCAGATTATTTATTATTCAATTTTTCGATTTCACAATTTCTCAATTTTTCAATTTCTCGATTTTCAGTTTTCCGATGTTTCAGTTTTAGATTTTTCAATTTTTGTCGTCTTCAATTCCACGATTTTTAAATACGTATTTCGATTTTTCAATTTTTGACTTTTCTAAATTCTCAGGTTTTTGACTTTTCAATGTTTCGATTTTTTTTAAAGTTTCGATTTTCCACTTCACTTTTTTGATTTTTCGATTTTTCCATTTTCCAATTTTTCTGTTTTTTAAAGGTTTTGATTTCCCAATTTTTCAGTTTTTTAATTTCTCAGTTTTGGATATTTCAGTTTTGGGATTTTTCAGTTTATTTATTATTAAATTTTTCCATTTTACAATTTTTCAACTTCACGATTTTCTATTTTTCAATTTCCCAATTTTCCGATGTATCAATTTTACGTTTTTCCAATTTTTCTCCTCTTCAATTCTATGATTTTTAATTATCTGGATTTTTCAATTTTTCAAATTTGAGTTTTATAAAATTTCCCAATATTTCTCCTCTTCAATTCTACTTTTAAATATTTTGATTTTTCAATTTTTCAAATTTGGCTTTTATACACTGTGGGTTTTTCAATTTTTCAATTCTTCAACTTTTCATTTTTTTGGTTTTTAATTTTTCAAGTTTCCAATTTTTTGAGGTTTCGATTTTTCGACTTCACTTTTTTGATTTTTCAATTTTTCAATTTTGTAAGATTTTGATTTTTCGACTTCACTTTTTTGACTTTTTGATTTTTCATTTATGCAATTTTTTAATTTATCAGCTTTTGGATATTTCTATTTTAGATGTTTCAGCTTTTCCGTTCTTCAGTTTTTCTTCCATTTTTCAATTTTTCGAAATTTCAGTTTGGGGACTTTTCAGATTATTTATTATTTAATTTTTCGATTTTACAATTTCTCAATTTTTCAATTTCTCGATTTTCGATTTTCCGATGTTTCAGTTTTACGTCTTTTCCATTTTTTGGGGTTTTGATTTTTCTACTTCACTTTTTTGACTTTTTGATTTTTAATTTTTTCATTTTTTAATTTCTCAGTTTTTGGTATTACAGTTTTGAGATTTTACAGTTTTTCCACTCTTCAGTTTTTCTTTCATTTTTTAGTTTTTCCACTCTTCAGTTTTTCTTTCATTTTTTAATTTTTCGAAATTTCAGTTTTGGGATTTTTCAGATTATTTATTTTTCAATTTTTCGATTTTACAATTTCTCAATTTTTCAATTCCCCGATTTTCAATTTTCCGATGTTTCAGTTTTACGTTTTTTCAATTTTTTTCCTCTTTAATTTTACGCTTTGTTAACACATATTTCAATTTTTCGATTTTTTTTAAAGGTTCGATTTTTTGACTTCACTTTTTTGATTTTTCGATTTTTCGGTTTTGCAATTTTTTGGATTCTTAGCTTTTGGATATTTCAGTTTTTCCATTTTTCAGTTTTTCTATCATTTTCAGTTTTTCGATATTTCAGTTTTGTTTTTTCAGTATTTCCATTCTGCAACTTTTCGATTTTTGACTTTTGGATTTTTCGATGTGTCGATTTTTTTACTTTCTCGATTTTTCAGTTTCTCAATTTTTAAATTTTAGATTTTTAGATTACTGGAGTTTTCATTTCAGTTCTTAGATATTTCAATTTTTCGAATTTTTCGAATGTTTCGATTTCTCAATATTTCAATTTTTCAATTTTTCCAGATTTTAAATTTTTGCCCTCTTCAATTTCACGA